CATAATGAAACCCACGACGAACGCCCCGCGGCGGTGTCAGAACGCTACTGGCAACTGTTCAATGACCCAGGCTTGACGCCTCCCGGCGATACACCCGCCGGCCAGTCGCAAGTGTCACCCGAGGCCTTCCATGACCTCGCCCACCAGGTCCGAGCCCTGACAAACATCGTGCAGACTATCGTCCCGATCGTCTCCCCGCAAGCCCCTCCGCATGCGACCCGACCCACGCAGCAACGGGAGCCCCCTGTCCGGACTCACGCCCCGCTTCCAGAGCTTCCTATCTCGCCCCGGAACCCCACAACACGGCCCGGGAGCCGGGAGGCGGAGGACACGGCGAGCCGCCCCGAGCCCGAGGCTCCGACCGCCGACTCGACGAATGCCTTGCGAGCTCAGCTGCGCCTCGTCAGTCAAAAACTGGACGAGGTACAACAGGAAGTCCGCAAGTCAAAAGGGGAACTCGGGGCGGACGGACACCAAGGATCCCTGTTCACCCCCGAAATACAAGAACAGGCGATCCAGCCGCATTTCCGCCTCCCCTCGCTAGACGCATACGACGGCGCCGCTGACCCAGCGGACCACGTTGCCGCTTTCCGCGCTCAGATGGCGCTGTATGGGACTTCTGACGCTTTGATGTGCAGGGCGTTCCCGACGACTCTACGGGGGCCAGCCCATGCATGGTACAACAGCCTGAAGCCCGGGACCGTCGCCTCCTTCGATCAGCTCGCCAAGGATTTCGAGCTTAACTTCTTGGCCTATGCCCGACCGAAGCCGTCCATGGCGCTGCTCCTCGGACTCAACCAGAAGGAGGACGAGCCCCTCTCCCATCGACACAGATCCATGGCTTTACGACGCAGATCCGCGGATTATCGGATGCTCACCCCTCCCTCTTAATGCAGGCATTCATGATAGGCCTACGGCCCTCCAAGTTCTTCTGGTCGCTCGTGGAGCGGCCCCCCGCCGCAGTCCCCGAAATGCTCCAGCGTGCCAGTCAATTCGTCGCCGCGGAGACTTGGATGGCTGGGAAGCGGGAGGATCACAAAAAGGTCAAGTCAGAGCCGCCCCGACAGCTACAACCCCTCGCCTCCTGGCGGAGGACTGACAGACCCGAATCAAGACCTCCTCCTCCCGCCTTGAATTTGTCCCGAACCGAGATTTTCCTGCACGAGAAGGGGAAGGGGCTGCTCAAGGACCCTCACCCGATGAGGAACCCGCGAGAGCTCACGGACCGTTCAAGGTATTGCCGATTCCACCGACAGCACGGGCATGACACCGAATAGTGCTACGAGCTGAAGAGGCAAATCGAGGAGCTTATCCTCAGAGGACACCTCGGCCAGTATCTCCGGCCGAACAAGGAGCGGTCACCCCGACCGGAGGGCCCCGTCGAGCGACACGTCGATGTGATAGCCGGGGGCCCTGCATCTGGGGGCGGCTCCATGTCGGGCAGAAAGGCGTATGCCCGAGCCGCTCTCGACGAAACCTCAGGACGCGATCCCGAGCCCGAGATTACCTTCTCGACCGGAGCTTCCGAGCTCCCCGATCATGACGACGCCTTAGTGATATCGGACAGGGTAGCCAACGCGCAAGTGAGGAGAATCATGGTCGACACGGGAAGCTCGGCCGATATACTTTACTTCGACGCCTTCCAGAAGCTGGGTTTGGCCAGAGAAAGTTTGAGCCCGATGTGCTCGACGCTCACCGGCTTCACGGGAGATTCAATATCACCCTTGGGAGCTGTTACTTTGCCCTTGACTCTGGGGACCCCATCGAGGTCGAAAACAGTGATGACCACATTCTTGGTGGTCGACCTTCCCACCGCCTACAATGCCATACTCGGCCGGCCGACCCTCAACAAGGTCAGGGTCGTCGTCTCAACCTACTACCAGACCATCAAATTCCCAACTCGTGCGGGAGTCAGGGAAGTCACGGGAAGCCCCCGAGAGTCTAGGCGGTGCTACCTTACCGCCCTCTCATTGGGAAAGAGAGCCAAGACCGAGGCACCCCTGGAAGACCCATGGGAAGCGAAAAAACTAGCTCCTCATCCCGAGCCGAAGGGATCCACTATTGACGTACCCTTGCGAGAGGCTCGGCCTGACCAGGCGATCAAGGTCGGATCAGAGCTGCCCGAGCGGGAGCAGGAACGACTCGTCGGGCTCCTACGGGAAAATGCCGACATCTTTGCCTGGTCCCCATCAGACATGACGGGTATAGACCCGGAGGGTCGTGGAGCATCATCTCAATATCCCACCTGACGCTCGCCCAGTGAAGCAAAAACCCCGGCGCCAGGCCCCTAACCGACAACGCGCCATACAAGAAGAGGTGGACCGACTCCTAGCAGCTGGCTTCATAGAAGAGGCCAAATATCCCCGATGGTTGTCCAATGTAGTACTCGTGAAAAAACACAATGGAAGCTGGAGGATGTGCGTTAACTACACCAGCCTTAACAGTGCATGCCCTAAAGACTGCTACCCCCTTCCGAAAATCGACCAACTGGTCGACGCAACAGCTGGTCACGCATGCCTATCCTTCATGGATGCCTATTCGGGGTACAACCAGATCAGGATGGCGCTCGAGGATAGAGAGCATACGACTTTCCTCACCAATCAAGGGGTGTACTTCTACAAGGTCATGCCGTTCGGGTTAAAAAATGCTGGGGCCACGTACTAGAGAACGGTGAACAAGATGTTCGCCTATCAGATCGGGAGGAACATGGAGGTCTACGTGGACGATATGATCGTGAAAAGTCAAGAAGCCGAAACGCACCTTGCCGACCTGGCCGAGGCATTCGCTACACTGCGCAAGTTCGGCATGCGACTCAACCCCACAAAGTGTGCTTTCGGCGTCACCTCCGGGAAATTCCTCGGGTTCATCGTACACGAGAGAGGAATAGACGCCAACCCAAAGAAGGTTCAAGCAATAATCAACATGCAGTCCCCCCGAACGATTAAAGACCTGCAGCAACTTAACGGAAGGCTTGTCGCCCTGTCTCGCTTCCTCGCCCGGTCAGGTTATCACTGCCTCCCGTTCTTCAAGGCGCTCAAAAACCCAAAGAACTTCCAATGGACATCGGAATGCGAAGAGGCCTTCAAACAAATGAAGCGGCACCTGGCCAGCCTCCCCCGCCTCGCCTCTGTCTCCCCTGGCGAGAAGCTGGGCCTCTATTTAGCGGCTTCCCCGCGAGCAGTCAGCTCTGTCCTTATTAAGGAAAGCTTCGGCCAACAACTCCCGATTTACTATATCAGCCATGTCCTGAACGGACCTGAGGAGCGTTACCCGCCAATAGAAAAACTCGCGCTCGCCCTGGTGCTCTCGGCTCGGAAGTTGCGTCCCTACTTCCAGGCACACCCGGTGGAGGTCATCACCGACCAACCTCTTCGGCAGGTCTTAACAAAATTTGATGTTGCAGGTCGAATCCTTAAATGGGCGGTAAAGCTCGGCGAACACGATATAAGATACGTGCCCAGGACCGCCATTAAAGCCCAGGCAATGGCCGACTTCATCGCGGAGTTCACTCAGATAGAGGACGGAGACCCCAAGCAAACCCCCGAAGCTTGGACCCTACACGTGGACGGCTCGACCAACTCAAGGGGTGCCGGCGCGGGACTGGTCCTCGTTGCCCCTGACGGACGTTCGTTCGAGCGTTCCCTCCGCTTCGGGTTTAAAGCCACCAATAACGAGGCGGAATACGAGGCGCTCCTAGCCGGACTAGGGCTGGCCCTCGAGATGCAAGCAGCCGCGATACACGTCTTCACCGACTCGCAGCTCGTGGCCGAGCAACTCAGTGGCGGATACGAAGCCTGTGACCCAACCATGGCGAGATACTTGGCGCGGGTAAGGGACCTAACTGCCAAGTTTCAAAACTTTACGTTATCCAACATTCCGAGGAAGGAAAACGGACGAGCCGACGCGCTAGCTAAGCTGGCGTCGAAGCCGACCTCCGAGGCACGGCCGGAGGTTGAGGAGCTCCCTGCTCGCGCCATTGAAGTGGCGACTACGGCCTTAGGCGGCACACCGACCACGTGGGTGCAGGAGCTGTTGCGTTTCAAGCGGGATGGAACCCTTCCCCTCGACGAAGCAGTGGCTCGGCGCCTACGTCGCACGCACGCATGGTACACCGAGGAGAGTGGCCGACTTTACAAACGGTCCTTCACCTACCCCCTCCTGCGATGCTTGGAGCCTGACGAAGCCCAGACGGTCCTAGCCGAGACCCACGAGGGGGTCTGCGGCGAACACATCGGCGGGCGAACCCTGGCGCACAAGATACTCCGCCAGGGCTACTATTGGCCGAACATGTGCCGGGACGCGAAAGCTTACGTGCGGCGGTGCAGGTCGTGCCAGCAGCACGCCCGCTCACCCTGATAGCCAGCGGTCCCGCTTAGCCCCATCGACTGCGCGTGGCCGTTTGCACAGTGGGGTTTGGACCTCCTCGGGCCCTTCCCACCAGCTTCTGGACAGTGGCGGTACATAATCGTAGGAGTGGATTACTTCACAAAGTGGGTCGAGGCCGAGCCGCTGGCGACGATCACGGAATATCAAGTGGAGAAGTTCGTGTGGAAAAACCTAGTAACTCGGTTTGGGCTGCCCAAGGCCATTGTCACGGACAACGGACCTCAGTTCGCCGACAGAAGGTTCCGGGAATTCTGTGCCGGCCATGGCATTCAACTGAGGTACAGTTCGGTGGCCCACCCTCAGACGAACGGACTGGCGGAGGTAACTAACCGATCCATCTTGGACGGACTCAAAAGGAGAGTATCCGCAGCCCGATCGGTCTGGACAGATGAACTCCCCAGTGTACTGTGGTCGCTGCGCACCACTCCTAAGAACGCGACCGGGGAGTCCCCGTACAGCTTGACGTTCGGGACCGAAGCTGTCTTGCCACCCGAGATGGCTGTTGCCACCCTCCGGACGAGGAGCTATGACCAAGAAGTCTTGAGCAAAGGACTTCGTGCTGGTCTCGACATGCTCGAGGAACGACATGCTGACGCGCACCTGAAAGCCCTCTCTTACCAAAGAGCCGTCGCGAGGGTCTACAACAAAAAGGTAAGACCCCGACCAATCAAATTAGGGGACCTAGTCCTGCGAAGGGTCGAGGTCAGCGACCCGCCCCTAGCAAGGGGAAAGCTGGCCCCCAAGTGGGAAGGACCTTATCGGGTCACCGAGGTGATCCGACCAGGTACTTACCGACTCACGACAATGAATGGTTCTCCCTTGCCGAGAACTTGGAATGTCTGGAACCTTAAGAAGTTTTTTGTCTGAAGTAGCGAAACCTTCTTTGAAACCTTGTCGGGCCGCCGAGGTGGTCCGACCAGGTGCTGAAAGCAAGCCGAGAGAAGAAAAAGTTTTTTTTCACCCAGAAGGAGAGAAGACAGCAGTCGAGATAAGAAAAGGTTTTCTTTTGCATTGAGAGCAAGCCCACTTACAAGACACGACTTACAAAAGCCTGACCAAAAAACAAAATACAAAACCCATTTTTTATGTTTGGGGGACCTCTAGGCGATCGTCGAAGGGGACCTCCTCGGGCATGTCCACCCCCCGGTCCTCGGGGTGAGGAGTAAAAGGATCCTCCTCCACCTCGAGACCCGGGTGACGAGCACGAAAATGAGACGTGGCGATACGGTATCCGTATTCGAAGGACAACCGCCCCGTCTGCGTTAGCCCGAGCTCAAACCCCTCCGACCTTTTGTAAGCCTCGAGGAGCTCCTTGTCTCTCGCGGGTCGGAGACGGGCCTCCTCCGCCAGCGCCTCCGAGGCCGTCTTCGCCTCAGCCTTCGCCGCGTCCAGTTTTTTACAGAGGGCGCCCGCCTCCGTCCTCAATAGGCGGAGTTTGGTCCGCTCCACCCTCATTATTTTCTGCAGCCCCTCGTTCGCCTCCTTTGAGGCCTCGAGCTCCGATCGGAGGCTCGCCACCTCCGCCTCCAGACCCGCCGCACACTTTTCCGCGGCCGCCACGGCCTCTGGGCCGGCCCCAGCTTGAACCTCTGCGATCTGGCGGTGGAGCTCGGCGTTGCGATGGACGAGGCCCCCGATGACTCGCCTTGCATCGCGCACCCGGTCCATCAGAGCCACCGCGTAGTGGAGACCCTGCGCAGAGGGAAACGGGTCAAGAAGGCCGGCATCGGATGGACGAACCAGGAAAACAGGAACACACTTACCCAGGTCAGCGACTGGGCCGACTTATTGAGCAGTGCCTCCGAGGGCAGAACATACAAGTCCCGAGCCATATCGAGATGGAGTGGCCCTCGGAGGAACGCCGCAGAGGGATCCCCTCCGG